GGAAGGTTTGTAGTATTACAAAAAGTAGTTGCAAATTTTCATTGTTAAAACTTCTATTTAAAATGAAATGTTACGCCTGCTCTGCCTAATAGAGAGCTGTAGGACATAAATAGTTAGTTCAGGTGATACGTATTTACGTGCGCATGCATGTTGAAAAGATTGAGTTTGCTCCGGAATGTGCAACTTTCGATTATTTCTATCCATTTTATTGCTTTATTTTCGTTGTTTATTTTTGGTAAATGGGAAAGAACAACAAAATAAATAAGAAAAAATATCTTTGAATAGATAGCAATGATTATAGATGGCGGTATAATTCAAAAAAGGAAATTTTAACAATGAAAATGATTAGTAATCATTGTTATAATTTCCTTTTCGCCATCTATAGCAATGATGGAGTAGCATTAATATAGTAATTAATGTCATCGTAAGTAATTTTATAACAAATAAGGACTTATTTTGAACTACGGCATAGATAGGCCGCTTGCGCAGTATTTCACTGTGCAGCCTGCGCAGGTTGCGCAAAATTTTTATAATTCAGAATAGTCTGGCCAGCTGACATAATTCTGGTCAGCTGGCATAATGCTGCAGGCAGCGCATCCTAAAAAGGAATCATTAACCATAAAATGACAGAATAAATATTTAAAAGAAGAAATTGTAAAAAAAAAAAAAAAAAAGATTTTTATTGATTTATTCAGGGAATATTTATGATTTAATATGTCTAAGCGTCGCATACGAATATTGGACAATAAATGTCACTTGATTTAGATCAATAACTGAACTAGGGTAGAACCAATTTATCTGTAATGGATTATTTGAATTGTACAAGTTATACGATGATTAGTTCATACAATTAATGATCATGTTTTACAAGTCGTTATTGGTTATTATATTTACACAAAGTTTTTCCTTAATTTTATTTAAATAAGACGGTTGGAGCGAATTCACCTATCATGCTAACGCTCATAATAATAGAAGACAAGTCCCGTGAAAAATGCTATTGCTAATGCTAATAAATTCGACTTTACCAATCGCTTTAAATCTAAAATTTAAAAATAATCAAGTTTTAAATAAATTCAATTAAAAAAAATAGCGTTGTATAAGACAGCCTTGATGTAATTTTAAGTCCAAGTCTCGATCGCAACTCCAGACAAGTGACACAACATAACTGAGTATTAATACAATAAAGACTGTACATATGAATATAATGCGTGAAACAACTTTTAATTTAGTTTTAGCACTTCGATAAAGTTACAAATAATTTCTTGTCTATATTTTAAATACAAAAGACAACTTATCAAAAAAAATTATACTGTACCTGGAACAGAGTGATATGTTAATATCACGAAGTGTATGGTTATAATGCATTGTTAATGTCCGTAAAATCTTGTAACTGATTGGATGATGCGTCAAATGGATTAAAAACGTGAAAAATTGTGCTTAAACTTCACGATCTTGCATCGCATGACTGTATTAGTATTTAAGATTATCATTTGTAGATGCGTGATTTCTAAATTTGCATATTGTACGTACAGGCTTTGTCTTGATTATTTATTGTGCTATTGGTGCATTCTAATGTGATTTCAACCGGTGCTAACCAAATATTTATTGGGTGTTGTTGGAGAAAAATGTGGCAAAATTCATTGTGGATTAGACTGGTTTTAACTCGAATACAATTTCTAATTGTGAATTTGCGCTAACCCAACTATGTGAATTTTTTTTATATTATCGGTGATAACAATAAGGAACATAAAAAAAACCTTTATTGTTACATTATTGGTTTTTATATTGTCTACAGTGCTATAAAAATACTAGTTCTTGAAGTCTGTATGAGTTTGATCAACTCAATTAATTATACTATCACTATTTATCACTATCTTTAAAGGCTCTTACTGATGCAATGTTCACATAAGCTTTCCGTTATAAAAAGTATGTTGAATTAACTTTCTGTATGGATTATTTCACGGCTCGTACGTACGTACATTACCTGATGATTAATCAGCATTCCAAAAGATAATTCTAGATTACTAAAAAAAAAAAAAATGCCATTGTTCATAAATCAAGAAATTTTGAACATGCGTTAGCGATAAGTTTCACAAAATTAGATTTTGCCGATTACTGTAAATAATTATCGATAGCCGTCACACTATTCTGCATATAGAAATGTATGAGTCTTCG